TAGCCTCTGGCGCCAGAACTTTAAGGTTGCCCTGCTAACTCCGATCTAGAGAACTTGACCCATTTAGGCACATGGACTCCCTTTTGAGAGCTAAAATGCAGAATGAATAAGTACTCAAGAACTTTTATGACTTCACCTGCTCTGATTTTTTGAAAAACATGGTCCTTATAATGGGTACTATGACCAACATCAGCTCATTATTAAAAACAGATACCTACTCCCTGATACTAGGACTTTCAGAGTGTCAATAGGGAGCATGCTATATTCACCAAGCTGGACCTCTAGGGAATCACTAATTTATTGGAGAATGCTGGCATCATAAACAGAAAATATTTGAAGTCCAGACATATGATGACAGTCCAACCATTTGCTTTACTAAGCCTCTCAGTGACCTTCCAATGTTCAACAAGATTCATGATTACAAATCTGAAGAAAATCACCAGCTACGTGATTCTAAAATGAACAAACTATTCTGCGATACTTCCAAAGATGACAAGCATGTGCAAATTTTAGAGTGTGCCTTGAATCAAAAAGTTTTTAATAAAGTTCCTAGGGTATAAAGAAATCCACTCCCAACTCATCCAGTCTATAAGCCAATCACCACCACAAGCATGAGGATCTTGCAGAATGGATAACTTTGCTTCAATTCCTATCTGCAATTCTCCATCTGTGAAACTATAGACGAGGGAAATTATTTAACTAAGCATTCATTTCCTCCTTATTCACAGGGGAAATGGAGTACAGCTCAAAGAGAGATTTGAGACAATATCTGTCAAGTGCCTGGCATACTTCAAGTATTCAACAAATGGTGGTTATTAATATTCCTCTGGGTTTGCCAATTTTAAAAATTAACATTTCATATGTAGTTCTTCAAATCATGTGATATCTCAAATCCTAAAGAAAGGCCCTATTGATAAGTTTTGATTTCTTCAGCAGTCTTGAGTCATTTCAGGTAAATCCTATATATGTATCTAATGTGCAAACAGAATGTGATCAGACTGGTAATCTTGGAAATCCTTTGATTGCTGGAGCGTGGCTAAGCAATTTTGATGAATGCCTTTTCCAGAGAACTCCAGCACAACATGTCCTTTATAAGTGCTCAGGAACCACTGAATTAGAAGAACCTTGGACTATTATAGATCTAGATGAGTTCCATCAGCACCCAAAGCTGCAACACCTTGAGGATTTGCTAATGCAGATATGCAGAGAGCAAAATGCAGAGGTGAAGGCCCTACATGAAATCTAACCTCATTCCACAGAACAGAATATTCCTCAGCAATAAAAATGATTCCATGCTATAAGATGGATGCACCTTTAAAATATCACGCTGGAGCTGGAGATGTGGCTCAAGTGGTAGCACGTTCGCCTAGAATGCATGAGGTACTGGGTTTGATTCTCAGCACCACATAAAAATAAAATAAAGAGATTATGTGTCCACCTAAAAAACACTAATAAATAAATATTAAAAATAAAATAAAATGTTATGCTAAATGAAAAAAGCCAGTCACACACAAAAAATGCATATTGAATGATTCCATTTATATGAAATGTGCACAAAAGGCAAATCCACGTAGCAAAGCAGCTGCCTAGGGATGGAGTGGGTAGGGGTTAGGCAGTGAGAGCAAATGGAATATAAGACAGAGGATGAAATGTTCTGAAAGTGGATCTGAGGATGGCTGCACAATCCTGTGAACATAATAAAAATCTTAAATTGTACACTTTAAATGGATAAATTGTATGGTATATGAATAGCATCTCAATAAGCTATTTTTTAAAAATCTAACTAATAAAATAATTAGTGGGTAATTTATTCTTTGCTATCTGGAGCAATACCTTCTCCATTCAAAACTAAAACAGGCATTCAGAGTGCCGTCTAATGTTTAAAGTTATCAAATATCTTTAGTTTGGAAGTATGCTTACCTTGCCCTTGTATCTATCATCTCTATTTCAATAGCAATTGTTTTAATGAACTCCAGTGATAGAAACTGCACAAATAAATGCAAAGTTTATCCATGTTCAAACCAAATTCTACAGATTACATTCTTTACTGATCAGCAGTAATGACAGTTCTCTCCTTAGTAAGAACTGACTACCTTCATTGGCAATCTTTTGATTACTTATTACACTGACCTTCAAACTACTGAAGCTCCACTTTCATGGGATCTCTTTGTTCTTTCAAGAAATACAGTACCTGTATGCCAGGCAAAAAAGTCCTACCCTCTAGATTGGCTAAACTTACCTACTAGGAGCCCAGTAGAACCAATGTGATTCACTTGAGTGGGAACATGACTGGAGAGAGAACTAGGAGAGAAGTCAATTGAACTCCTGATGAGGAATTAAGGGAGGGGAATGGGGGTGAAGAGTAATGAGTATATGGTCTTAAAAACTTAACTAAAAAAATCTGTGGCCTTGGGCTGGAGTTGTAGCTCAATGGTAGAGTGCTTGCCTAGCATATATGAAGCACTGGGTTCAATCCTCAGCACCACATAAAAATAAATAAATGAAATAAAGGTATTGTGAATCTGTAGCCTAGAATATTTTTATTGATGGCAAAGCATACTTGTATTTCAGGGTTTTTCCAAGTTTAAGTTTCGAAGGACTCATATCTGAATGTGCAAGCTACTGTGGGAAACAAAAAAAACTGAGAATCCACAGTCCCTGAACTTCAGATCCCAAATCTGAGGAAAATTAAATTTACTCACATGAAGAGATTTAAGAATAACAAGAATAAAAATATACTATCAATTCAACACACATTACTGAGGAAAATATTAAATGAGTAGTACAATTAAGCAATGCCTCCCAAATACTATCTCCCACCAGACTGGCACAGGAATAAACAGACTGTTTTGTAAAGTAGACATCTTATTAGTATTATTTACACATAAAGATTAATTGTAAAAATCATAACTTTGGTTAAACAAATTACCTATTTTTAGGTAATTAAACCCTAATTACTCAAGTGTCCACCACCACCTCCAATTGTTGTAAAGAACCTGTTTAAAATGTGTTGATCTTAATTTCCTTTGTTTTTAAAAGGTTCCCTGTTTGGAGAGACTAAGGAAGTAGAGGGTTTTGTTTTGTTTTTTGTAGATCCAGGCCACATGTAAATAATGTTATAAATACCAATTTGATCACTGCTTCTGTTTAAAAGCTTAAAAAATTAAGATTCTCCAATAATCCAGGGTGTACCATGATCTTCTCGGCTGCCCCAATGTTTTAATTCTGAATGCTATATAAACCCTTCTCTTATTTATCAATTTCCTTCCCCTCGGGCCAAATGTTTTCAATGAAATGACAATGTTACATTATTTGACTTTTACTAAGGCATTACTTATAGATGACTTGGACTTAACTATTTGAGTTATTAGTATGGTCAATTTTAAACAGTTTAAAAGTTATTAAAGTTGTTATTACTTTTAAATAGTAATATTTAAATTACTATTTAAAAATTATTATTTTAAATAGTTTAAAATTTAGTTACACTATTCTTTGATTGCAAATTACAAATTTTTATCTTTTTTTTAATATTTATTTTTAGTTTTCGGGGGACACAACATCTTTATTTTATTTGTATGTGGTGCTAAGGATCGATCGAACCCAGTGCACCGCGCGTGACAGGCGAGTGCGCTACTGCTTGAGCCACAACCCCAGCCCACAAATTTTTATCTTGATAATTGATTCTCCATAGCTTTAGTATCTTGTGTAACTGTTGATAAAGTCCACAAACAAGTTTTTCCAAACCAACAACTAAGAAATTGGGTGAGTCAATTTTGAAATTACAATTTGATTATTATATGAAAGAGTTAAAAGTCTTTCTTTGATACTATCAAAGAATAACAAGTACTGTGAAGTGTTATGTCAATAGCTGCTTACATCAGGGAAAGATTTTATACACCCATTCCTACTTGTGTATGTTTTCTCCTAATGTGTAGGCTGCTATCCCAAAAGGTTAACATTATTATGTCTTTCCCAATAAATTGTTTTAAGTGTTTTTGAATGAACAAATAACATGGAATAACATTCGTGTATCTTACTTAAGCTCAGTCTGCAAGCAACCCTAACCACACCAAAGTTCAATAAAATCAGAAGTGAACATCAAAATGAATAATCACATCAAAGAATAACCACGAATGTCGTAAGCAAACGCTTGGTTTTTTTGTTTTGTTTTTAAAAAGCCAAAACAGAGGGAAAATAAAGAAAAAAGGGGGGGCAGGAAAAGAGGGAAAAAAGGGAGAACAAAAACAAGTAATTTTTCCAAATTCTCCAATCTGACCTTTGTCCTCCATTTTTAAAGTCCTCCAGTTGGCTGGAACTAGGTTTAACTCACTTCGTGGGGATACTTTTCCCCACAAACGACCTTCTGCAATGTTGCTGATTGCAACGTGAAGAGCGATTGTTCTGAGAAAGCAATAAGCTTTTCCTACTCATTCGAACGCCAGAAAAGTTTATGGGGAATTTTTTTTAAAGGGGGTTTTGTAAATTACATGAAATTTCCAGTTTAGGAGGCAAGATTCCACGAATCCGAAAGAGGGTGAAATTTAACGCTTCCACACCCCTTGCCCCATCCTCACTCCTAACAAGTCAACTGAAGGCTTTTCATCCTAAGCACAGCGTCTGTTTTTAAAAACTTTTCTTTTAAAAGCACTCGGAAGGAAAGGCTCAAGGTGAGTAGGAAGCCGCCTGACTGCGGCCACGAACCCGGAATGGCTTCAAAGACACAAGCCCCTCAGAGCTAAGGCAGATTTCTCGCACCTTCCAAGTTGCACTTCAGATTTCCAGAGTTCAGCCAGCAACGTATTTAGTATTTTAAAAGTCCACAAGTCTAAGCAAGCCGTAAGATGGCTAAGGGAGGTAGGGCGGGTGAGCGGGACACAGGAGAGGGAGGAAGGCGAGGGAAGATGGGGAGGGGAAGGCCAAGCACTAGTCCTGGTTTGTGCGGGCCCCGCCGAGCCGCGAGCCGGGGCAGGAGGGAGGGCGCGGCGCGGCATCCGACTCACCTGCCCATTCACCGAGCGCCGGGCCGACCCCCGCCTCGTTACCCACACCCCAGACGCGAAGAGCCGTGTAGAGCGAGTACGAGATGCGCAGGGACAGGTAGGCCACGGTGCCAAAGCCTACCCAGTACAGGAAGCTGGCAGCAGGGAGAGCGCTCTCCATGGCTTTCGAGCAGGCCTTTCCACCTCCGTGAATGGAAGAAAAAAAAAAAAAATCGAATGAATGAAGTCAGAAGGAGGTGCCAGCTGTGACTGCGAGGACGACACTCACGCTCCTTTCGTAGAACCCTTTGAGCCTAAACCCCGCCCACGGCGCCATATAAGTGCTGCCATTGGTGATTTATCTTTCCCTCTGCTAGTAGTGGGTCATCTATTGGCTAATGATAGGTTTGTTGCCCCGCCCACACCCCCACCTGCACATACCGTGTGGCGTTTCCGTTCTAAGAATGTGGATCGTTCACCTGCCAATCAAGTATCAGTCCCGCCCAATCGCCTCACCAAGACCCACAGGATTCCGCTCCCGGGCCGCAAGTCTCACCCCACCAAAGCGCCCTGGTTTCTCATTGGCTGCGGTGGTCCTAGTTTTCTGATTGGCCAGTCAGATCCAGCCTGATTTAGCCCTGGTTTGAAGATAGACTTTGGATCAGAGAAGCGGCCAGCGAATGGGAAGTTTGTAGTAGGAAGTGTGCGTGGAGCCATGGTTTTATTTTCACCTCTGTATAAGCACTTCTGTATCGTTGTTAGTGTGGGGTCGTGGTTCCCGTAGTCTTTCCGGATAAAGGCTTGCAGTACCCTGTTTCTGTGCCTTTCCCCAGCGCACACATTCGCTCTTGTTACACTTACGTCTTCAGGTTCTTCTATAGGCTTGGCCTCCCACCCGCTTTATGCATGAAACAACTGGTCGTTCCCAACTACTTGGAGTTCAAGGCAAACAGCTTGCTACAGTCAGATACTCTAATTCAGAAAGGCAGAAGAGCCGTAAGATAAACGAAAAAATGGACCATAGGAATACAGCTTGCAGAACAATTAGTTTTGGAAAGATAACCTACCTTCTAACTGGGTTAAAGAAAAATTTCTGTAATCCCCCCCCCCTCCCGTTTTTGTGCGGTGAACGAGTGGAGTTTCTTTCTTTCTTTCTTTCTTTTTTGGAACCGGGTATTGAGCCACATCCCCAACCCTTTTTGTTTTAATTTTTGAGGCAGAGCCTCTCTAAGTTGGTTAGGGCCTTGCGAAATTGTGGAAGCTGGCTTTGAACTTGTGATCCTCCTTCCTCAGCTTCCCAAGTCACTGGGATTACAGGTGTGCCAGCATCACGCCTGACTAGAGAGTGGAGTTTCAGGGAATGATTTAGGACAGATGAGTCTGGACACCTGAGAAATTAACAGGAAGCCGGTTTATTGGCTGCAGGGGTAGCTCATGCCAGAGTGGTTCATGCCAAGTAAGTTTCAGAAATAGTGTAAGACAGTTGTGTAAGTGTTTTACCCATAATTCTCCTTTCCTCTCTTCAAGACTTTCTCTTCCCTTTTCTGGCATGGATTTGGACTCACATTAGTGAGTCAAGGTTTTTTTTGTTGTTGTTGTTGTTTTTTCCTTCTGATTCAAGGTTTTGTTTTGGTTTTTGGTTTGGGGGTTTTTGTTTGTTTGTTTGTTTGGTTTGGTTTGGTTCAAGCAGGAACTCCAGGGTAGTAATTCTAAGGGTAACAGTTCAATTCATCTTGAGGCTAACTTGATAGTTTTATAATATTAACTTTGAGCCATATTCCTGTGCACTCCCCCCACTCTTTCTCCACACTTATCAGATAAATTAGGTACAGTGATAAAGCTGGAAGTGTTCTTCAAAACGTTAGTTGTCTACTAGAATTCGGTTATGTGAATGAAGTTGGCATCATTCTGTTTAGAGTTTGATACCTTTGGATGAGGCTGCCTCTTCATTTTAAAGTCCCACCACCCTCTCCTTCAGCCTCTACCACTTCCCAATATCTTTGCTTAGAGTAGAGCTCCAGATTTATACATTCCAGCTCATCATTGCTCACCAACTCAGTACCCTCAAGCTATTCAGTCCCATTTTCCTCAGGATAAGGTAGAAGAAAGGAACATTATAAAATAGCAATACGTAGTTTTGACTCATATGTAGGCATGTATATGGCCCACACAAGAATCTGTGTTTAGAGGCAGTATGCTATGAATCTATAGGACCTAGAACAGTGCCTGGAACCCTAGAAGAACCCAACAAATGAAGTAGAAGTAAAGATTCATTCAGCACATATTAATTGTACTTTAATTATGTGCCTGTCACTGAGCTAAGTACTGGGTATACAACAGGCAGCCAATGGTCAATTCCCGGTTCTTCTCCTATTCTATTATTTAGCAGTGGGAAATCCATTTTTCTCACTAGCTGCTTCTTTCCCAGAGTCCTTTGCTGGCATTTCCTCTTACTGGCCTCTAAATGATTCAGTGCCCTTATGCTCAGACCCCAGCTCTCTTTACTTCTCTGGACAATCCTCCTACATGATTTTATCCAGTATTTTGGTTCCCAATATCAGTTGTAAGATGACTGATGACTTCCAAATGTGTCTTTCCAGGATTATCTTTGGAGGTCCAGATGCCTACTTGGCATCTCCATTCAGATGTAAAATAAACATTTCAGTGACCCAGTGACCGGGAGGGGGTAGACCTTAGTAATAGAGCACTTACTAGTATGTGTGAGGATCGGGGTTTGATCCCTAGCACTGCCAAAAAAAAAAAAAAATGATTTAATTAATTTTAAAATAGTAAAACAAGCATCACATACTTAACATATTCAAAATATGTTTTTCACTCAAACACACACACACACACACACACGCCTACACTTGCCTGTTCTGTTCTTTCCCACCTTAATGGTCACTTCTTATGTCTGCCATTGACAGCTAATCCAAATCACATGCATTCCTATCCTGGAATATGGCAGTAGCCTAATTGGTATCTCTGAAGCTGTCTTGGCATACAAACATTGTTGATGTAGGATTTTTTTTTTAATAAATAAATAAGAACAGCCAGACACGGTGGGGTGTGCCTGTAACCCCCAGCAACTCAAGAGATTAAGGCAGGAGGATCATGAATTCCAGCTCAGCCTAGGCAATTTAGCAAGATCCTGACTCAAAATAAAATAGAAAGAAAGTACTTTAAAATGTTCACAATTTTCTGATCACCTCAACCTCCTTTTCAGAATATCGTTTTATCTACTAAAAGAAAAAATAATGACTTCCACAAAGTGGAAGTAGTACGTGGCAGAGAAGCCATTTGGAGATCAGGAGTTTATAAGTTTTGGGAACTGGACAACAATTCTTTGTCTCTGAATCAATTTTATGAGTTACTGTAAATTTTAATGTATACAGGACCCTATAATGATGGCTCATTACTTTTCAGCAGTATTATGTCCTAAAATTTAACATGCAGACAAGAATTAACCAAACATGTGAAACCATTAATAGCTCTCCACCAAGGAAGCAATATTTTAAAATATTCAACTTCCGCATCTGTGAAATACTGAAAATACTACTTAGGCATTATAAGAGTGATTGACAGATAGACATTGTGTTCAACGAGGTGAGTACTAGTCTTATTCCCAATTCACAGATGAAACAGAGGCTCAAAGCACTTAAATAACTTTGCTATGGAATTATAAGTGATTAAGTGGCAGAATTGGGGTTTGAACCAGAGAGATGTGGCTCTGAAATCATGTCTTCAGAATTAGGTAAGAGAAGGCAACATTTAAAAAAAAAATGACTAAGGGAAAATAGAAGTCTCTAGAAATATTCAGTTGTTATACAAATAACATACTCAGACACAACCACAGTAGATTTCAGTATTATTTATTTACTTAAAAGATTTTGAGTTCAGAATAGTCTTTAACATGGAAAAATGTGAAACAACACTATTGTATCACATTAGTATACAAATATTCCCATTTAATTTGAAATTCATTTTCAGTATTTTTGTAAGTTGAGTTTCAAACCAGATTTTCATGATGAAATCGGGAGTAATTCGATATAATGAAAGAAAATTCTGTAATTAGGGAATTTCCTAGAAGCTAAATTCAGTGGTCCAATCCTGGGTTGAAAAACAAAATTAAAGGGCTGGGGCTATAGCTCAGTGGCAGAGCACTTGCCTGGGGCATGAGGGTATGGGTTCAATCCTCAGCACCACATAAAAATAAACAAATTAAATAAAAGCATTGATTGTGTCCATCTACAACTACAAAAAAAAATTTAAAAAAAAAGAAAAACAAAATTAAAAAGTTTGTGATGAACGAACCAATTTAAAAGAAACAGAAACTTTAGCATTCGAAATTAGGAGTTTTCAAAAACATTAATATTTGGCTGCTTTAACGAATATTACCATAAGAAAGCAACATTAGGATATATTATGGTTTCAATGTCACATTAGCATTTTCAAAGTGATCACACATACATTATTCAAGTGTCACAAGAACAACTCTATTTTTCCAAGTAGGAAACCAGCTGTTAAGTTGAACTTTGTAAGTACATCTGCAGTGCAATAGGCCTGGTTCTAACACTGAGCCACCTCACACAAAAATGCCAGCATGTTTCTTTCTTTCTTTTTTTTTTAATAATATAATATTTATTTTTAGGTGTAGATGGAATGCCTTTATTATTTTTTTTAAACATTTTATTTATTTATTTTTTAGGTATAGATGGACACAACACAATGCCTTTATTTTTATGTGGTGCTGAGGATCGAACCTGGGTCCCACCCATGCTAGGCGGGCGCTCTACCACTGAGCCACAATCCCAGCCCAGCAGCTTTCTATTCTACCACCTTTTTAATAATAAAACTTAGGGTCAGGGCTGGGGTTGTGGCTCATTGGAGGAGCACCTGCCTAGCACGTGTGAGGCACTAGGTTCAATCCTCAGCACCACATAAAAATATAAATAAATAAAGTTATTGTGTCCATCTACAACTAAAAATAAATAAATAACAAATAAAAAACTTAGGGGGCTGTGGCTCAGCAGTAGTGTACTTGCCTGGCATGTGTGAGGCACTGGGTTCGATTCCCAGCACCACATATGAATAAATAAAATAAAGGTCTATCAACAACTACAATAAATAAATAAATAAATAAAAATAAAAAAATTAGGTTCACATTTCTTGGAGTCTTCTGTAAATATATTTCTCAAAATAAACAGAAATCAGTAATTTTGGGAAAAATGGATTTGAAAACACAGTTTTAATATTTTCCTTAGTTGTTAGTTTCAAAGACAGAAAATCATATAAAATAGAAAAGCATGCTACCTCATTTCCCATTCCCACTCATCATATCTGGCAATTTGGATTGTATTTGTCCATTTCCTTTTCCATGTAGATATAAATCTATATACAACAGATGTACACACATACCTTTTTCCTTTTTTTTGGTATGGGGGTTGAACCCAGGCGCACTTAACCATTGAGCCACATCCCCAGTCCTTTTTGGTACTTTATTTAGAGACAGGCTCTCACTGAGTTGCTTAGGGCCTTGTTAAATTGCTGAGGCTGACTTTGAAATAAAAATCCTCCTGCCTCAGCCTCCAGAGCCACTGGGATTACAGGCATGCACCACCATGCCTAGTCACACATACCTTTTTAAAAGTAAAAACTGTGATAATAATCCACTACTTTTTTATCCACTCAATAATATATCATTAAAGGGGCTGGAGCTGTATGTAGCTCAGTGGAAGAGTGCTTGCCTAGCACATGTGAGGCACTGGGTTTGATCTTTAGAACCATATAAAAATAAACAAATACAATACAGGCCTGCTGTCCACCTACATCTTCAAAAAAATTTTCTTAAACATACATATCATTAAAAATACCATAGTGAAATCTTGCCACATCAGTTGACACATCCTGACATATCATATCTTGAAATAGCAATCTTGACATATTAACTGGTTTTCTTTGTAGCATCAGCAGATCTAATGATGGTTCCAGCAAATTTATCCAGGACATTGTCACCTTAAAAAAAAAAAAAAAACAACACACACACACACACACACAAAGATTAGTGCCATAGTAAACAAACCAGTTTAAAATTAGGTGGAAGGGGATGCAAACCATGATATTTTAGCAACATCATGCTGCCAGATAAAAATGGTAGTTATGTAAACAAAGGTAAAGTAAGTAATATAGGGGAATTTCAGAAGTTTTACTTCATCTGAGAGCTTATTTTAGCAATGGATTAGGAATTTGCTATCCTTACTCATATTTTTGTCCTAAAAATTCTACCTACTTTATTTATTCATTTATTTAGGTAATGCTAGTGTTCAAGTCCAAGGCCTCACACATGCTGGGCAGGCTCTCTACCACTGAACTACACTCCCAGTCCTAGCTACTTTAGTTTCTATTACTTGTGCCTAGTTCCTTCCTGTCTTGCCTTTATTATCTTTGTAAATATACTTGATGCATATCAAAGATTGCATGAAATACATTTTAGTTATAAAGCAAATGTATTGAAAAGCTGTAAACTTACCACCCAACATAAGAACCTACACCATATGTACTTTCATCACAAATAATAGGTTGTTTAGGGTTTTTTTTGTTGTTGTTGTTGTTGTTGTTTGGTACCAAGGATTAAACCCAAGGGCGCTTAACCACGGAGCCACATCCCCAGTCCTTTTTATTTGAGACAGGTTCTTGCTAAGTTGATAAGGCTGGCTTTGAACTTGCAGTCAATCCTCCTGCCTTAGCCTCCTGATCCCTGGTATTACAGCTGTGCACTACCACACATGATGTAATCCTAGCTATTTAGGAAACTGAGGCAAGAGGATCACAAGTTCAAGGGCAGCCTCCACAACTTAGCGAGACCCTGTCTCAAAATAAAGTTTTAAAAAGGGCTGGGGATGTACCTCAGTGTGCAAGGATCTAGGTTCAATCCCCAGTACAAAAAAAAAAAAAAAAGAAAGAAAAAAAAAACGTATAATATAGTGGATATTGGGAAATGCAACTCAGACCTTCCTTCCAGGACCAAGACATTAATTCCTTTATTTTCCAAGAGTGCTGGTTGATGAGGGCTCACAACTGTGTCCCTCTGTGGGCACTGCAGTTGGCTAAGGGGAGTTGTTTTGTGTTCCCCTCAGGGGGTGCCTGCACCCAATCACTAGTTGATGCAAGAATACGAGAGCCTGGACCACTTACTTCAATTACAGATCTCTCTGAAAGACCTTCCCAGCTTCAGAGCTCCCTGTGGGATTGCCAGAAGCCTCCATCAGAAATACTAAGCTGTTCAACTTCATCTTAATTCTGCTTCCCTCTCCCTCTTCTGACAGATGTTTCCCAGAGTACTCTATAACCAGTCCCCTACAAGTGAATCTCAATCACAGAGTCTCTTTCCTGAAAAGTATGACCTTTATGGGTGGCAGTGTGCTTCCCCCAAAAGATATGTTGAGGTCCTAATCCCCTACCTGTGAAATACAGCCGTATTTGAAAATAGGTCTTTGCAAATGTAATCTAATTGAGATGAGGTCATACTGGATATAGGTGAGCCCTAAATCCAGTAGCTATGTCCTTGTAAAGAGAGAGTAATTTGGAGTGACAGAGTAGAGGGGAAAGGACCAGCCTCTAACAATGGAGGCAGAGATTATAGTGATATAGCTACAAGACAAGAAATGCTAAGGATTGCTGAGGACTACCAGAAGCTAGGAAGAAGCACAGAAGGATACTTTAGAGTCTTCAGAGAGAACAAGGACCTGCCAACACCTTGATTTTGAATTTCCAGCCTCCAGAACTATGAGAGAATATATTTTTATTCCTTAAATCCACCTAGTATACAGCAATATATTACAGGAACCCTAAGAACTCATCCATGGACATAACGCATACTTAGGTAGCTATTATGGTTTAGAAGTGATGTAATCCAAATGAACCTAACTTAATCATATAGGTCCTTTAATTGGAGAACTTTTCCTGGTCAGCTCATATGTGAGACAATGCAAAAAGGTTCAGAGGAGAAATGATTGGGTTATAAGAGTCTTAACCCAATCAGTGAATTAATCCCCTGATAGGGATTAACTGAATGGTAACTGAAGTGGTAGGGTGTGACTGGAGGATGTGAGAATTGGGGCGTGGCTTTGGGGTATACATTTGTATCTGGCCAGTGGAGACTGACCTCTCTGCTTCCTGATCATGTGAGCGGTTTCTCTCTGCCATACTCTTCCGCCATGATGTCCTGCCTCACCTTGAGCCCTGAGGAATGGAGCTAGCCGTCTATGGACTGAGACCCCTGAAACCATGAGCCTTTAAATAAACTTTTCTTCCCCTAAAATCGTTCTGGTCAGATCTTTTAATCACAGCCACGAAAAGGCTGCCTAAAACACTAGTCTTCTGATACTTCTTTTTTTCACTCAACATCATGTATCTAAGATTTATTCATGTTGACTATTATTCATAGTTGTCAACTAGAGCTATTGCTATGGTTTGGATAACAGTCTGTCCCCCATAGGTTTATATGCTTGGTTCTTGGTGTAATGAATGGCAGTGAGAAGTGGTGGAACCTTTAAAATGTGGAGCCTAGTTGTCAAAGAAGAGACCTGCCTCCTCAAATAAAGGGCTGGGATTGTGGCTCAGAAGCAGAGCACTTGCCTCTCATGTATGAGGCATTGGGTTTGATCCTTAGCACCACATAAAAATAAATAAATAAATGTATTTATTTATTTATTGAGTCCATCTACAAGTAAAAGCACACTTTAAAAAAAAAGGTATTGTGGGGCTGGGGATGTGGCTCAAGAGGTAGCGCGCTCGCCTGGCATGTATGCGACCCGGGTTCGATCCTCAGCACCACATACAAACAAAGATGTTGTGTCCACCGAAAACAAAAACAAAAAATATTAAAATTCTCTAAAAAAAAAGGTATTGTGTCCACCTACAACTAAAAAATAAATATTAAAAAAAGTTCATTACATATCAATCTTTGCACATGTGTATGTTAGGCAGAATAATGATCCCCAAAGGTATGTCCTAACATCTATAGCTTGTGAATGTTACCTTTTAAGGAAACACATTGTAGTAATAGGATTCAATTAGGGACCTTGAGATGGGGAGATAATCCAAATGAACCCAACTTAATCATATAGGTCCTTTAATTGGAGAACTTTTCCTGGTTTTGATCAAAAAGGGAGATGTGACCAGAATAATCATAGAGATGGTAATATTGCTGGCTCTGACGATCAAGGAAAGAGTCTATGAGCCAAGGAATGTGGGCAACCTTGAGAAGTTGGAAAAAAGCAAGGAAATGAACTTTTTTCAAAAGTCCAGAAAGAAACCCAGACCTGACACTCTGATTTTTAGCTCAATGAGACCCAGGTAAGAGTTCTAACCTATAGAACTATAAGATAATAAATGTGTATTAGTTAAACCATTCATTGGTGGTAATTTATAACAGAGATAATAGAAAACGAATGGTGTGTGTGTGTGTGTGTGTGCGTGTGCGTGTGTATGTGTGTGTGTGTGTGTGATAAAAAGTGTAACATTCTGTAACTACTGCTCCTCCTCCTTTGCTTATTACCTTGAAGCCATGAGGTCCCTCACTCCAGTCCTCAAAAGCACCACCTCCATGTTAGCAGGGCTTGTTTTTTGTCAATCATCTGGTATCACCCAAATGAGAAAATAAACGGCTTATGATATAATTATACATATGTACACATATATAAATGAGAGTATATATTTATCATGCAAAATATATCATCAAGAGAGTTTTTCAGGGGCTGGGGTTGTGGTTCAGCAGTAGAGCGCTCGCCTAGCACATGTGAGGCCCTGGGTTGGATCCTCAGCACCACATAAAAGTAAATAAATAATATAAAGATATTAAAGAGAGAGAGAGAGAGAGAGAGAGAGAGAGAGAGAGAGAGAGAGAGAGAGAGTTTTTCAGTAATTTGAGAAAAAGAATAAGCCTTCAGTTGTGTAACATTGGACATTCTGGTATTTAGTTAGCTCAAATATAAAATGTAGATGCAAATTTTGCCTACTTTTTAGGGAAGATAAAAAACAAAGAAATTTCACATCTGGTGTATTTATAACTCCAGTGGTAAGTAATGCATTTTTTTTTTCTTTTTTGGTGCCGGGATCGAACCCAGAGCCTTGTGCATGCAAAGCAAGCACTCTACCAACTAAGCTATAGCCCCTGCCCAGATTTTTTTTCTTCATTTTATTCACATCCGTAATAGGTATTATCATTAAACCGTTTTTCTCTTTGTCAATTTTTGAGGTGAAAACAAATATCTAATTGTCTTTATGCTTCTTTGTGGCTATTTTCTTCACATGCATCATTGCATTTTTTTTTTTTTTAAAGACAGGGTCTTTTCTATGTTGCCAGCCTAATCTGGAACCTCTGGGCTCCAGTGACCCTCCCACTTACCTTATCTCACCCAATCAGCTGGTCTCATAGGTGTGCCCCACGGCACCCAACTCCACTTGTCTTCTTTTCCACTTTGCCTAGTCATGTCTTTTGCTTGCTAGAAATTTTTCTAAAAGTTTTTAAAGTTGTAAATGGACACAGTATCTTTATTCAACTTATTCATTCTTATGTGGGGCTGAGAATTGAACCCCGAGCCTCACACATTTTAGGCAAGCGCTCTACTACAGAGCCACATCCCCAAGCCCATATTTTTCTTTTTCTTTAATTTTTTCTCTTTAGTTGTAGATGGACACAATTACCTTTATTTTATTTTTTTATTTTTATGTAGTGCCAGGGATCGAACCCAGTGCCTCACGCATGCTAGGAAAGTGCTCTACCACTGAGCCACAACTCAGGCCCCATATTTTTCTTTTTCTAATGATTTTTCTTCTTCTTCTTGGTACTGGGAATCAACCACAGGGTGCTTTACCACTAAGCCACACCTGCAGCCCTTTTGAGACAGGTTCTCACTAAGTTGCTCAGGCTGTCCTTGAATTTACAATCCTCCTGCTTCAGCCTCCCAAATCACTGAGATTACCTCTGTGTGCCACCATGCCTGGTTTTCCTA